CAAAAACATACACAAAAGAAAACAATAAGAAGTCACCAAGAGTTAAGAAAGGAAATAATCAATGGTAGCTGAATAAGAAAAGGTGTGAATTTTGGGATTACCACATATGAACTTTAAATTGACTATGATGAAACACTCATGTGAAAAAGGTAAATAACCTGTATAATTTCAGCAGATAATTCAGTGATAATTTCAGCAGAGACATGGAAACTATAAAAAAGAATCCAAAGAGATTAAAATTACAGAATGAGAAATAAAAACTTCAGATTTTATCTCTCTTGGGTCAATGTTCTATCTTTCAGATTCCCCCTGCCCGATTTCCATGATGTCTAGGTAAGAACAGTCCAGATGGTTTTTGTAGTATCTCTCTCTGGAACTTAGGAGAAGGCTGTACACAGCAAAGAAAAGGATAGGGAAAGGAGAAGAAAGGTCAAACAAAAATACCCAAACAAATCAAAAGAGAAAGAGGGTCAAAAAGAAGAAAAATAGAAGAACAGATCAGCCATGTCCTGTTGAACAAGATCAAATACTGACAATTTAAGGCAAAAATCATCCTAATGTTCCACACACAGTGTATAGCTTATGTACATGTATGTATTCTTGCCCTATTTGTAATATTCCCTAATGATGTAAGAGCTTATGTCTATAAATATCAAATTGTCACATTCATTTAAGAAACTTTTTTGTTTACTTATATGGTAAGCAATGTGCAACTTCTGAAAATATTAATGCATTAGCATTGAACACATATTACCCTATGTGACACTCAGCATTCTCTAGTAAAGTGTTTGACTCTCCATCAGAAAACTATTAAACAAATTCTTTTCTGCATCAAATTAGATGCTTCCTAACAAGGAAAATCTTAGCCGCTGTCTGTTTCTTAAATTGTTTCTAGCTTCTTATCCTCGCTTAAAGTTTCAACTGTCTAACATATTCTGGACCTTTTGTGGATCCAGGGACAAATGAAAACTTACCTAATGACTTTGTTTATTACTTGGAAGTTTGCGAGGTTAATTTATTTTCAAAAGGTCCAGATGTCTTTGGAAAGCTGAGGCGGGCAGATCACGAGGTCAGGAGATGGAGACCATCCTGACTAACATGGTGAAACCCTGTCTCTACTAAAAATACAAAAAACTTAGCTGGGAATGGTAGCGGGAGTCTGTAGTCCCAGCTACTCAGGAGGCTGAGTCAGGAGAATGGCGGGGGAACCCAGGAGGCGGAGAGGTTGCAGTGAGCCGAGATCGCACCACTGCACTCAAGTCTGGGTAACAGAGCGAGACTCCATCTCAAAAAAAAAAAAAAAAAAAAAAAGACCGGATGTCATGTCCCTCCACTGCCCCCATACCTTCATTATTATTTACTTCACAGTAAGGTTCTTTAATTTTTACATGGAAATCATCTTTGTGAAATCCTGGCTTGGGAATTTATCTGGAAGGGAAAGTAGTCACTGAGGCCTCTTCTCTTTTCTTTAGTACATTAAAAATAATATTCTCATTTCTAACTAATGCTGGCAAGTTCAAAGCTTCCAAGTTAAGATATAATTCCTCTGTATAAGGAAAAAAGATTAGATTACTTGACAAAAGTCAGCCCTGTAAAATCATCATATTAAACTAGAATAACTATTTATTTAAATGTTATCAAAAAACAAAACTAACAAATAAACTAAGAAACAATTTGAAAAACATGTTGTAGGTAAAACTAAAATGCCCCTTAAATCTTAGCAAGGGTCAAGGGTACCTCCTCAAATATAAAGGAAATTGTATGTAATGAGGAGATTTTTATGATAGAGGATAATGGTGTCTGATAAAGAATATAGGAAAGGAGGATGGTCACAAAACAAGGCTCAGAATAACAGAACAGATTTTTATAGACTAAAAAAGGTTTATAATTCTGCTTTTTCAAAACTGAATGCATTTGGAATGCCATCCAGAAAGGACTTCAAAATAAATAACTAAATTCATTTTAAATAAAGTAATTAAATTAGATGCCAATTAGTTTTGAAGTATAAAAGCAATAGATAGCTCACCAATCACAGAATGCCAACACATGCCTGTTGCAGTTTTCTGGCCTGACAATTACATGAAGATTCTTTTTGACAGAGCAATTCTCCACATCAAGATGAACCACGACACTGGGGAGAAAAGCACCTTGACATAATTCTCAAGTCTCTTTCTTCTTCTTGCTACATTTCTAGACTAAGCAAGTCCTAGGTATTTTCCTTTTTTTTTTTTTTTTTTTCCCTGTAGTCTGATTAATCAGAAAGGGAAGAAGTGAGACACAACACGTATCAATGTTGATAAATGGCAACACTGGGCCACTCATATATAGAATTAATGTGAAGAAATCATCTGAAAGAGAACTTTTCATCTCTGAGATTTGGAATTTTCTACATTGTCTCTCATGAGGAAATACCAGACAGTGAAATGTACACTATTCTGAAAATCAGAATGCTGTTTTTTAATCCACACCATGCAGCTAAACCACTTGGCATGGCTGACCCTCTGTCTCATTCTATAAAAGGAGCCAGTTAGATTTTATTCTTTCTGAAGTCTCTTCTGTCTTTAAAATCTAGTTATGGAAGGATATCCTATTTAATATAGTCCTCAGAATGTCACTAAAGTTTGTAAGAATGTGGCCTGGATATATCTAAGCAAATGAAATTATAAGCAAAAAGATGAAATAGCTTACGTGAGAATTCTAGAATGAAATAGAAGTTGCTTTTCCTCATTGGATGCATCTAAGTTCTTGAGATAATTGTATCTGTGAGCATATCAGTATATGTATGTCTATGTGTATGTGTCTTTGTATGAAAGATTTTATTTGGTTAATTTAAACTCTCTGTGTATAATACCGTTTCAATGGATTGTATTAAAAACATAAGATTCTAACATTATCATTGAGAGGGCAGTAATCTCTAATACCTTAATCAGTGAGAACATATTTAAAACATTAAGCAGTAAACTCTGCCGTCAATACAATAAAAACAGTATCAAATTTCTCAGTATTAAATGAGTTTGAAAGCTATACAGTCAACATAGTTTGCATAAAATCCGAAGAAATGAATTATTTTTACATAAATACAATATTTTACATAAATACCAAAAGTACTTACTAAAATATATTTTCTTATAATCCCTGACACTCCGTGTTATTTAAAAGAATGGCTAGACTGAACTAAATTAGCCAGAAATGTAAGAGGCTTTAATACTGATTCCCAATGCAAAACTTCTCAAATATCCTTTGTTAACAAAATGAATATTACAAATTTAAAAGGTACTCATATTTTCTCATGTCTTCTATCACTATAAGAGTTGTATCCTACTTTTTGCAACTTTCTATTTTGAAATGATTCTACACTCACAACAATTTGCAAAAATGTTGCAGTAAGTCCCTTCTGCCTGTCACCCAGCTTCCCCTCAATGGTAACTTACATACTAAAGTGCATTACCAAACCAAGAAATTGATTGACACAGCACAATTAACTAGTCTACAACTATTACTTGGATTTAACCAGTTTTGCATGCGCTCATATTTTTTTGTTAATCATTTTATGTTAGCTTTTACTTTCAGAGATGGTATACCAACCTTTCCAACCTTTCATTTTGTTCTGTAGTTATTTGAAATCTTAATGGTTAAAAAGTATGGGTTTTTATTTTTGCATGCCATGAATAATTAGTATGCTTTATGGACTTGAACCTTTAGGCATAGAATCAGCTATATGGGAAGCAGTGATTAATATTTAGCTTACCAAAGTAGATTCCTAAAATATTTTAGCTATCTGTACTATCTATGGTGAGGGACTCAAGCAGTGAATTAAATCCCATTTCACATTAGAGACCATTAAGATATTCATTGATTTAGGAGATGTTTATTGAACAGCTTATTCTGAGCAAACAAACCACATCAGACAATATAAGAGATAAAAATACCCATAAAAGCAGTTCCCCAGTCATCAAAGGACTTGTATAATACGGCAGGGAAAATACCATTGTAGAAAAATAAATAAACTGTGGAGATTGAGAAGTAGGTTGGGTGAAGGAGAGGCACGAGGGAGTGCCCTTATGTTTGTAGAGAGTTTGGCATGCAATCATCTTCCCTAGCCAAGACCAAGAAGTTTGAAATTACGTATCTCTTGAAATTTAATATCTCTACCCAAGTACTCTCTGGCCTTCCACCTTGACGTGCAATCTCACCTATGTTATCTTTATTACTACAGTTTAGAAACCTACTCCAACATGTTTATTTTTAGAGTTGAATCTCCCCTTCAAAACTACTGAACCTCAGAATAAGGATAAAAATGCCACCTTCATGAATTTTTGTAATTTTTTCTTTGTTGGCTGGTAAATTGGTTGGTTCACTTTTTTTTTCCTATTCTAACTCACAAATGTATACAGCTTTCTCGACAGTAGAGTTGACTGTTCATGGGGAATACTAACATTGCATTTACTTGAAACTAATGTCAAGCTCCAGCCTTTAGTTGGTAAGACTGAATATTAGGATATGTTCCCAAACCTAAAACTAATACAAACATTCAGCACTACAGAGTACTCTATAGAGACAAAGGTATAAAAATGAAAATTAGCATCCTTTTTGTAACTCCCAACTGATGCTTGAAATTTTCCTTGGCTCAAGGAAGCTTATTTGTTCTAAAGAATATAGTAGGGAATATTTTGTATAGTATCATTACCCACCTAGTTTTAGCCAGAAGTGAAACTAACGTCAAATCTAAGAAGAACATAATTAGTTAAGTTGCAGTTTAGTATAATGGGTAAGTATTTAGGGTATGGAGTCAGATTGCCTGGGTTACAGTCTTGGTTTCCCCAAGAGAATCTAAGCAAGTTACCTAACCTTTCTGAGTGCCAATTTCTCATCTGTAAAATGGGAGAAATAATAATAACAATGTATGTTGTAAGGAAGGCTTGGTGTCTTATAAGAGGTAAATCTCAAAATGTCAGTGACTAAACCAAATAAAAATCTTTTTAATTTCCCTATATTCTAAGGTATGTTCCAGGTTGAATGGCTCTCCTTCAGGTGGGCTCCTTCTATCTTGTGGCTTCATTTTCTTCGGTATATCCATTCCAAAGACACCATTTGTGTGTGTGTGTGTGTGTGTGTGTGTGTGTGTGTGTGGCGCGGGGTGGGGGATCATCTGGGTTTCAGCCAGATGGAAATAGGAAAGAGCATGGCAGAGCATGCATGAAAAGTGTAACTGGGCCTGGACTGAAAATAGGTGATGCCACATCTGTCCACATTACATTAGTGAAAAGTCAGTCAAAAAGCCGTAGGTAACTACAAGATAGGCTGTGATATAGACAGATGAAAAGAAATCAATTTTGGTGACTGCCCAGTCAATCCAGCCAGAATTATATATCATAAGAGTTCTTATGGAAACATGTGAGACTCAGAATTATGCCTTGTAACACAATCCATATAAACCATTTGTATATTGTTTATTACTACCTTTTCATAATCTCAAGTACTAGATATCTTTTCATAATCAATTCTAAAACTCCAGTGTTCTATTATACAAACAACCTGGCAGATCAAACTCTTTACTCAGTTACCCCAGAAGAACAAGTTGCCTATAACATTGGAAATTCCGTTAGCAAGGTATTCTCTTAGCAGCTTAGCTTTTAGTGCTTCAGGGAGGACTGTATACCCAGATCAATTAAAAAAAAGATACAATATATTTAAATATTTATGTGAAAAAATAAACAGAGTAATACGAACCTTCAGCCCAACAAAGTGGAATCTCCAATGTTCCTGTTATCTCTGCTCCTAGATTCTAAATTATTTCCCTTAATTGATAGCGCTTAGATACATCATTTATTGGCATTTTATCAGAATGTCCTTGTGATTTAGGGAATATCTTTTATTTCCCTCTCTATTTTAAAATGAATTTTTGTAGTATTATTTGAGATTTTATTTTTCTGTCATATTGCTCTATTTTGAGTCTAGCATTTTGAGGGCAGAGACTAAATATATATTTTAAGTATCTATATATGCCCAGTGCCTTGCATTATATTTGCAAGTGTCCTATTAGTGCTTGCTTATTTGATTCTTTGTGCCTCAGCTATACCACGGTAAAGAATAGACTTGAAGTCTGAATACCATAGAGTAGCTTGTGGGACTGTGAACAAGTTGTTCTAAACCTCCATATCTTCCTCTAGAAATGGAGGAAATGGTAGCATCTACCTGTGAAATTTGAAGTTGGTATAAAGTGAGAAATTAAACTGAGCAGGTAATAACCACTCGTAATATTCTCTACTATTAGTTTTAATGATAATGGCTACAGGATCTTGGCATAGGTAGGGCAACAAATGAAAATAGGAAGCAAAGAGTCCATACTAGGATTAAATAACTCAAAAATGCCTGAAATCTCCTGTCCTGATAAAGAAAGTTGTGCCGCAGAATAAGGCAAACCATTGCTTTTTATCTTTCTAGAGTCCTTACATTTCCAAGAGGCTAGATTACTATGAAAGGACATTGGGAAACTGCTGGTGGACAGGCCCAGACCTATAAGATTTTAAAATAGTTAAACATAATTCGTTGTCTTTTCCCTAGAGTGAGATGTACATCACAGACAGAAGAAAGACTTTTAAATAATCCCAGGGGGTGAGGGTGGAGATCAAGTGGTGTCTCTATTTGTGCTATTGTTTGGCAGAGGCAATAGTTGTTTATCAGTATTATCTCAGGATAATCCACCGTTCAAATCTTATATACATAACCTGGCTGAACGATACAGCTCTCTGTCCACCTGACCAGTCTCTATGGACACCCTGCAGCATGAGTGCTATTAGGGGGTTGAGTGTTATTGAGTTGGTAGAAGGCATTAAAACCGGCATAAGAGTCCTTCACCCACTGGGGAGGGCTAAATAGATGAGCAAAGTTTCTCTAAGCTTCAAGACTCCCTAAACTTCAGCATTAGAGAAAGCCTTGAAGGGAATAATGCTTCATTCAAAGAAAGCTACCCTTTAAATAAAACATAATTTACTCCTGTTTCCCTTGAGCTGTTTTTCCCCCCAATCATGTAATTTTTGACCTTGTAAAATTTGGCAAAAGCATTGTGAGCAAGGCTATAGCTTGATCTGGAGTAGACATAAAGTGACATGTGAAAGCTGGGTCTAAATAATGTGTCTGTTTGACAGGGCGTGTTTAGGATAGAAGGCTGCTGCTTTACCACAACTTGTTTTTCACGCATTTTCTGAGGCGAACTTGTCAAAATGACTGGAAAATCCACAAAGAAGCCTTTTGGCTAATTTAAAGAAAAGAAATTAAGACATAAATAAGTCAAATAAAAGTAAATGTAGAAGTAATAAAACTTACTTGGGTCTATGGTTCTCTTGAAATATACAAAGCCTAGTTTCTACCTCATTCCTACAGCCCAGGTATAGGAAACAAGGGTCCTAAACTAACTTATTTTAGGAATTCACAGGTATACTTTTGTGTTATAATTGCATATAATGCATGCGAGGAAGATGGGCAGGATTTGCCTCTGTTCTCCTGATGAACAGAGAAGTGCACCTGGCTCCCACCGAGCCTAATCACGCAGGTTTAAAGGGGTTTGGCTCAGGGCATCCCAACGTGACGGAAGAAGATGCTAGTTAAATGTTGGTCGTTTTCCATTCTCTTCAGGGGGAATCTCCCAGTGCCAATCTCTGAAAAGGCTGCAAGACTCTGAAACAGATCTCCCTAGAAATCCCACCTGGAAGGACAGTAAGGTATGCTATTTGTCCCTTCCTGAATCTGTTTTCTATCTGTGCTTCAGCCATCTAGGTATTGTACCTCTTGCTTCATAGTGTCCTGATTTGTATGTTTGTCCTTTCTCCAACCCCTATCCAAATAGCCTCAGGGCGTTCTGGAAGCACCATGTCATGTTAAAGTGTAAATAATGTCCACAGCGATTTCCCCTTAAATTTATTTCCTTCAGTGAATACATGCCCAAGTAATAGCAGTTTAAAAAATACGGAAAAGTGAAGTAAGAGATATTATATGGTATTGTTCTGGAGATGATGTCAAACTAAGGATCCTTTTCAGTCACACTAGTGTTTTTCCATTTATCTGTCTTTCACATCTTAGCAAACAGATAATGAAACACATATATTCATAGGAAGGAATGAAGGAAGGGAGGGAGGGAGGCAAGCAGGCAGGCAAGCATAAAGTGACAGTTCTCCATCCTCCTCACCAGTCTCTCCGGACAACCCACAGCATGAGTGGCTGGAAGAAAGGAAGGGAGAAAGGTTACTGGCTCTGCCTAAAGTGACATTTTTCCCTATAGGAAAGGTCTGATCTCAGACACAGCATTAAACTGGTGATGTGGAGAATCCAAGGACAGCAACTACAATCAATTCCAAATCCTATATGTTAGAAAAAACCTGAAACTCAGGGAGGCAAGACCCAAAGTTAGGGGTAGTAGAACTGTAATGAAGCTCCAGACCTCCTGACTTGCAGACGAATGTTCTTCCTATCACATGGTGCTTCATAATGCTTGATTTAAATCTGTAGGAGACACAGTAATATCACAGAACTGGAGAACTCAGGATCTTCAGGTGGGAAAGCCAGGGTTTGAAAGTCAGGCCAGCCACCGGGCAGATTGATCAATCTCTTTAAAGCCTTGCAACTCAAAAGGAGGTTCAGAAACTAGTCAACATCAGCATCACCTGGGCACTTGTTAGAACGATAGAATCCTAGGACCTGCCAAAAACCAACCTAACAATGTTCCCAGGTGGGTATGAATAACATTTGAGAAACACAACTTAAAATCAGTGATTCGCAATCTTGGATGCTCATTAGATTCACCTGGGAAGCCTTGAACACTACTGATGCCCTGGCCTCACGACCCCAGAAGTGAACGATGCTTGGCCATCAGCTACAACCAATTTTAAGGAGTAATCAGGTGATTTTAATCATACAACTAATACGAAGGCACCAGAGGGCACTAGCAGAATGTCTACTCTCCCCTTCCATAAGGCTCTTTTAAAGATTACAGGAGATAATGCTTATAAAGCACATGGCACATACCTAGCACAGACTATGTACTCAGAAATGTTAATTTATTTCTCTTGGTTCTACTCTTCCTTTTCTTCCCTTTCTGCTGCTGCTGCTTCTTTATAATGTAATGCATAAGTTAAGACAAGTTGCTTACCTTAGATATGCCACGTTTTTTGGTTTGGTTTGGTTTTTGTCATTTATTCATTTTTTAAAATTTTTCGAATGAATAAAATTTAATGAGTTAATAGAATATGCCTGGCACTGTTTTATGCACTGATGAAACAAGAGTGAACCCTCATATAACATAAACTCTGCAAACACAGGGACTCTTTGCTATCCCTGTGCCATGCCCAGCTTTGAGTCAGGTGACTGTTTCATTGTAGGAAGTAAAACAAATAAATGTGGAAATACATATCCCCCCAAAACAAAAAGTATGTTGTAGTTACCTATTTGAGGAGAGGGACAAAAAAAAAAACCCCAAATACAAGCTTTTCTTTTTAATATCTAGAGTAAAGAAATAGTTGAATGATGACTTCTTAGTTCAGTTTTTAGTTTTTATTTTGAAAATCTATTATGTCCTCCCTGAAACTAATGATAGATAATGCTGTTGTTTCTTATTATACAATTATCAGAATAAATCCTCTTCACAGCATTTGTGTAAGAAACAAAAACAACCGCAGACCAAGCCCTCTGTGGTCAGACATTACTAACCTTGACAGCCACAGCGCCTGGGCCCAGCCAGACCCCGGATCTCTGCCCTGTGGATGTGAGGAGCACACAGTAAAGATACATGAAGGACTGCTTCAGGGCTGTTATGATCAAGGATTTATATTTTAATACATCTATGCTTTTGTCTGCCCAGAAGATTATTATTCATTGTTTCTAATTGCTCCATTTCTGGGTCTGTTCGTAAATACACATCGTAAGAACATTTTCAGAAGATCTGTCACAGGATTGTCTCTATTTTTTCTGCTTTTAAATGTAAAAGCCCCCAGAAGAATTGGCAGCAACTCAAAATAATGATTATGTAAATGGAAAAAAAAAAAAAAAAGTCCTGCTTTTAACCAAAGAAAGGCAAAGCTATTTAGAGCAAGGACCACTCCTCCCCCTACCAGGGAGGATGGCAGCCCCCCTTCTTCCTGGAGCACCACTCTCTTCTCAGTTCTAGGGGATATTCCTCCCAGAGAACAGCAACTACAAAGTTCTAGTGGAGTTAAGGGCCAGTTTCCAGTCTATACATTCACCCTTTATTGTAAAACTCAAACCATTCTTGGTTTTCTGGCAATTGTGTCAGGCCAGTGAATGTTTGCTTCCTCTTTTGTGGTTGCATATAAATTCTTTTTGGAAGAAGAAAAAAAAAAAGCCCTCCAGATATTACAATAAACACACACAGAGGAAAAAAAAATTCTATCTCCATTGAGTTTAACAATCAGCAGGGCCCAAATTACCTCTTATTAACATTTATTTTACAAAAGAGGCAGGGTATAATTTGGTGATAGATTCGGATTTGGAGAGGAGCTATAATCAGCCTCCTGAAGTGCTCTGCCTGAAGGACATGGCTGCTATTTTTTGTAATTATATTTGTCTGCCCCCACCCCCTTCCCCAATCTGGAGAGTCTTTCACTCCTCTCTCTGGTGCCTGCATTTCTCCCTCCCTCTTGCTCCCCGTCTCTCTCTCCTCCCCAGCCCCCTTCTCTCCCTTTTTCTCTTTAGGCCTCTTTTGAATAATGCAGCCCCTTTCAATAGCCCAGGCAGGCTTGAAGATTAGGAAGCCTGGTGGTAGAGATGGGGCCCGCTTAATAGGAGCAGGAGGCCTCACTCTTCTGGCGAACAAGGCTCTGGGAACCAGTCCAGCTGCAGAGAGCATGTGTTGGGAACCCTGAATAGGCAAGCAGCAGGCCGGCCCATATGTCAGCCTGTGCCACAAAGACTCCTCTGCATATCTACCATGACAAACAGGATTACCGAAGACAATTAATCTGGCACGCTTTATCAAAATCAAGCAGTGACCCCGACCTCTCCCCTCGGTGTGAGGCAGATGCCACGCTCCGATTCAATAGACCTCGAGTGTTCCCTTTTTCACTTCTGAAAAGAATCCAAGGCCTGAATAAGGCTGGCATGGACTAATTGCAACGACTGTGTGACGGTGACAGTCCTAATCAAATAGGACGAGTCTACCTTCTCGCTGACTTTTAATGGAGAGGCTAGCCACAGCTCCTTGTCTGCCACAGAAAGAAAAGGAAGTGCATCTATTTTACTTTTATCTATCTTGTCTGGTGCCTGCAGCTCGCTGGGGGTGGGAGAAAGGGGCAGAGATTCAGGTAGCTCCTATTCAGCTGTGCTTTGCCTCATATTTGGGAGTTCAATTCTAGTGGAAGAAAGTCTGCCAGTGACTGAAGGACATAATGGTTTTTATGATTTAGTTAATTCTTTCCTGGTACTTTACAGGAGAGATAATAATGCAGCAGGAAAGTAGCAGGGCCTTCAGAATCGACAAAACCTCCAATTGTGACGCCGTTGAGTCCATTCCTGTAATTTAATCCGATTTCTCTGTTTCGTCATCTGCACTTTTTTATGACCCTGATAAGAGGAAGCTTAGATGGATATCTGTTAAGAATATTTACCAAAGTGCTTAGATTGATTTAGAAATGAGAACACTCTGTAGAAAAAAAAATACTGGTAATTTTTCTGGAAGGTTTAAAGGTTTCAGAGAGACCAATGAGAAAAGGGAGGCCTTGGTTAGATCTTGTCCTACTAGGAAGAGGCTGTGGGTGAGTATGTAGGTCAGAATTGAACATAGGTGAAATTTAGGCTTTTTCTTATTGTCGTTAACCAATTCTTTCCATAGATAAGCCTAAACAGTCTGGATGTAGAGGAATAGGAAGGAGACTAAGTCTTATATTAGCCCATTCAACTTGGTGATCCCTTGATTAGACATTTGGATAATATCTCAGTTAAGATTCCAGAAATCTTTCTATAAAAAGAAATAGGAAGCTACTGCATGAAGTAATACAGCTTTTCTCAAAGAATCATGCTCAGGCCACTTGCATCATGATCACCTAGAGAACTCATTAAAAATACAGATTGCTAGAGTCCACGTGAGACCTAAGGACCCTCATGTGTGGGCTTGTGTCGGTCTTGGAACCATATTCCATAGGTGACTCTTATGCACTCCAACATGAGAATTGATGATGCAGTTGAAAGACAGCAGGGGTGCCAGCCAGTAGACTTGGTTCTAGGTTTATTTCTAACTAAGCTAATTTGCTCATCATGGCCAAGTCATTCTCTGCACTTCAGTTTCTTCATCAATAGTGATGGCATTGGATCAAGATCTCCCTTGCCCAATTTAGCTTTAAAACAACTTATTTCTCTGTATCTGATTTACAGGAAATTCATTCCTTCCTGCTTTGGCAAATCTGACAAATAATGTATGTCTTTCCCAGTTCCCTTTTAATTGTATCATTTAGATGCAGTGCAAGATTGTCAAGAAGGTGCTAGAGTTCCAGGTTGTGTGATTCTGTCTGAGGATACAGATTAAATATATAATTATAACATTTTTATAATTATGTTATAAAATACTTATAATGATATATTTATATAATTATATATTTAATCGTATAAATATATAGTAAATAAATATTTACATTATTTATAAATATTAAATGGAATGATATTATGAAGCTCAATTATCAGGAGAAAGCAATTTGTTGTTAAAGAATATGTGAGTAAATCAGAGCACTGGGAAGTCATGCTTGTATTTGATCAACTCAAAAAAATGGAAGATGTAAATTTTACTAAAAGGCATGGGAGTCTGGGTAGCAAAGTGTGTGGAAATTGTCCTTACCTGAATTGTTGTTACATTAGGCCCACCTGAGATGGACTAAGTTAGGGTCATTTTCAGTGTCTGACTCATTGTAAGTGCCTGACTGTGGACCATACTGAAAAGTACAGAGATTGTCCTGCAGGAAGCTCTCTGCTGACATCATTTCAACCAGGGCTGGGAGAGGACTGCTGTCTGTATGGGTATCCACCACAGGGTTACATAGAATCCATATACTTACATATTAATTTTCCCTGGACACAGAATTCTCTCTTAAAACTATGAAAATCTGGCTTGTTCATTTATGTTGGAAATTATTTGCTATTAAATTAGTAATTCGTTTCAGGATTTATAAAGTCCAAGAGCAGTAAGATTGTCTCCAACTGATGTTAAGCATCTAATATAAGCAAAGCTCTTAAAATATAGAGAAGCATTTCTAGAAAAATGATGCATACGTGAAGTAAAATAAATAAGGGAATTAAGAATATTATTATTTGTACTGGCAAGAAAAATTGGGAAATTAGGCATTTTAAAAAAATAGGTTCCAATTTAGTAGGAAATAATATATATTTGTTTATTTCTTATATCCAGTAACAAGATGTAAAACCAGATTCCTTTGACTCTCATGTATATTTATATTATACATTATAATGTGTATATATTATATATTATATTATGTGTATATAATGTATATTATAATATGTATGTATACATACATTTAAGACTCAAGAGAGGATTTGAGTGTAATCATACATGTATAAGGCATAAGGTTCTTAGGCAATAAAAATTTGGTCAGCAAGCACTTAGCTAGACAGTTTTGGCCTCTAAATCTATTTTCCATTCCTGCTTTCCAGCTTTACTAAACAATCCTGGTATTTTAATGATTTAAGGAGACCCTACTCTCCAGACCTAAGTGTACACACATGGATGGGGTGGTCATGTGCTAGTTATTAAAATGGTCCTGGGCAAAGCTAATTTGGTAGGGCTGTGGGACTGAGATAAAATGCAACCTTGTTCATTTTGTGGGGAGAGGCTCGGGCTGGCATTTTAGGCTGGCGAGTTCCAGATCTAGGGAATCATTCTATGGTGTCAGTAACTGTTATAAGCTTCCTGTCCTGGAGGAAAAATAGCTTACTGCTGATAAGCAAGAGGCGATCGTCCTTGATACGCCAGCTGCCAGAGGCCCAGCTTGCTGGGGTCAGGTACACACTAACCGTTCAGTGCAACTCCCACAGTTGGACAACAATGCAGGTGCTGGTGTTCTTCCCTCACAAATCGATGATCCTGCCCAGGCTGTGTTTCATTTCTTGTGAGTGTCTCAGCAGAAAATGCACCCGAGAATAAACCTAGACCCCTTGCAACATTCAAAAAACCTGAGACTAACCCATGACCACCCGAACAATTGAACATTAGCCCCACCCTATTTAGCTTTCCCCTCTTGAATCCTTAAATGGTTAAACCACCACATGAATGCTGAGATAAACTCCTGCTTCGATAATTTACTGTCAGAAGTATTGAGTGCACTTTAGTGGGACGGCAGTAGGAATGTTCTTCTCAAGTGCTGCAGCACAAAAGCTGAGCCAATCAAGATTTTTTGGCAGGCTTTGCATTTTCCTTGTCATATTATATATTGCAGAAGTACAATTCAGGATCAGTACAAATCAGCTTAGAGGACATGGGAAGCGGTGGGTTACATCAGCGGCACATGGGCTACATCAGCGGCACATGGGCTAAACAGAAGGTGGCAGCATTTTAACATTGCTGGGCACATGTACACAACAGCACATGCGCAGACGCCATTCCATGATCATTGGGTTATCGTCTGAATTCCTGACAGAGTGTTTACAGCTTCATGCTTACGGCAACAAGGAAGCAGAACACAGAGTGATGAGAGATTTATGTGGATATGATAGCACTGGACATTTTGAGGCTCCGTTGGCAAAACATGCAGCAAATAGGAAACCAAGGGGGTGAGCTGAAAATATCTACGATACTGTCGGAAGGCTTCTTCTTTTCCATTCCTCGTTAAAACCTCAACACGAAAGGTGTAAATGCATCAAAATTAAGCCTAGAAAGGAATAGGCAGTTTCAATGTTTTTCGGCTTCCAAAAAACTCTATGAAACAAATTTATAACTGGGAAAACCTTGTACTGTGAGTAAGAACCTTGTGGTCCAGTATGGGCTCCATTTCAAAAGGGCTGTGATTGCTTCCGTGTAGTGTTGAAATCCCTACGCCAACTCCCAGCTCCTCTACTGGCTAGCTCATGCCCCTAGGAGAAATCTCTGAGCCTGTTTGTGTACTTTCCTGATAGGGTTGTAATGATTTGTGAGGTCATGTATGTAAATCATATTGCCCGGTTCATACTAGCTGCTCAATAAATGCTATCTTTATAATCATTACTGTTATTATTATGGAGTTTTACTGTTTTCAAAAAATTGCATACAGTATTTAATTTGATTCTTACAGCAATTCTGAGAATTATGCAAGAAAAGAATTCTTACAAATAGGATAGTAAGTATAGGTTAAGTGACCAGCCAAGCTCCAAGCCAGGTCATTTCATCAGGGGCTGTTTTCTCATTAGTTAAATGAAAAAAAAAAACTGAGCAGGAGATAGATAACCATGAAGTTCTTTCCAGTTCTAATATTTGCAACTCTGTCATTTAGTTTAACTTACCACATAGTAAGCAGAGATCCAGAGGGAAATTAATTGCATTTTTATCTTAGCAGTAATTTGCTACAAATGAAAACAGTGTCTGTTTGCTATAGGCACACAGAGCTCTTATGCCTCATGAAAAGTAAAAGAAATATTGGAACACAGGGCTCCTGTGAAACCCAACCAACGACAAAAATCAGTTCAAAGTGTGAGCACTTCCCAAAAGAAACACTGCTTAATTTTATACACAGCCAGGCACTTGGCTTATATTATAGTCAACTATAGTCCCCATCTATTAGCTCCTTATTTGTGAGAGTGCTTCTCCTGAAATTAATCTGCCCTAAATTTATCAGACATGTTCTAGAATGAGTATGATTGTCGATAACACTATTTAAAAGAATGACCTTCTAAGGGGAACAAGCAAACATTAGTGAAAGCCATTCAGCTAACACTGCTTACTAAGAAGTGGGGTGTTTTATTTATGGCTGTTGTTTTGATAAAATGTCTGAAACCTCACAATTGTCTCCTGTGAAAAACTGCCACATTTAGGATTTTTTAAAACAATACTTTTGTACAATTACCCCACACATGAGAAATCAGGCTTTATGTATGACCTCAGCTCTCATTAAGACCATTGTGAAAGTTTCATTGCATTACCCAGATGCGTTTTAATTGCCACATCTAATGCAATGCTATAGTTGTATTTTACAGCTTTAAGTTAAACCTTTTTGTTGTAATGGCAAAATCTGCCAGAGTGCTAATAGTTTAGGTGTGGAAAAATATCTGTCATTGTAAGATTGTCAAAATAGAAGATAAAATGGGTTTGGTGAGAAAGGCCCTTCTTTTTCAACAACTCTTCTATTCATGACAAACATCCCTCCTCTCTTTTCAGTAGACCTTTGACATTTAAGAAGTATATGCCCTAAGATTTCTGCAGATCCTGAAATTCATCACTACGGCAGAATCATACATCTTATGGTGAGTCAATGATGACTAATGTATCAGAGGCATTTACTGATCATTGAATATCAATGTGTTCCCTCCACTTTTTCCACTACCTTTAAGTTAGACTGGATGGTGTGAACACATTATCTGGCCAATGGCTATGATTGGAAGTCATGTGTCTCTGTGATGGGCTGAGCACTAAAGAACTACATTGAAACTCTCTCACTTTCTCTTTTGCTGTCATGGAGAAAGGGATCATGAAATCACAGGAGGGAAAATAGCTTAGATCTCTGCGTCACCGAAAATAAATTCCTTACAGAGCCAATGACCCCACAATAAATACTATGTGAGTGAAAAATAAACTTTTATGCCTGTTACTGCCTCAAAGCTAGCCTAACCTGACTAATCCAAATACCGTAATAAAAACTATCCTATGCAACATTTCATAATAAACAGCACAAATTCGTAAGCCTGTTTGTGAGAACACTCCTCTGTGTCTACTGATGCCATTGTAACAAAATAGTAATGTGGGGGGTAGCCAGGTTTCTACCAGATCTGATTCCATGTATGGAGAAAATTTTGATATGATTTGGCTTTGTGTTCCACCCAAATCTCATCTCGAATTGTAATCCTCGTGTGTCAAGGGAGGGGCCTGGTGGGAGGTGACTGGATCATGTGGGTGGTTTCTCACTGCTGTGTTCATGATACTGAGTGAGTTCCCATGAAATCTGATAGTTTAAAAGTGTGTGGAAGTTCCCCCACCACCTCCTGCTGCTACGTAAGACATGCTTTTCTTCCTCTTTGCCTTCTGCCATGATTGTAAGTTTCCTCAGGCCTCCCCAGCCATGTAGAACTGTGTATCAATTAAACCTCTTTTCTTTATGAATTACGTAGTCTCACGTAGTTCATTATAGCAGTGTGAAAACAGACTAATACAATTTGGACAATAAATTTCAACTCTATACGGGTTTTGCAAACTACATGATTTAAACCCACTTTCTATTTCACTTCTCCCAGAGAAATTGAGAATCACTGGTATTGATTATCTGGAGCACTATGACTTTAAAATCAGAGAGAGAGAGAGAGAGAAAAAAAAAGAAAACAGCCCTGAGAAGTGGGAAATTAGCAGTCAACAAAGCTTATTCATTTCTTAATAAGTTTTTTACATCAGACTTGTTGTACCTACATATTCAGAAAACTTTTTCTGAATCATTGTGAATCTGTTTCTTAGACTTTAATGCCTATTTGTGCTTGAAACATATCTTGCTTACAATTCTAACCCAGATATAATCTAATATTAGATTATATATCAGATGCATTGGCTTATCTGTTCTTTCATTTGTTCCTTCCTATCATTCAGGATCCAATCAAAGGACAGAAAATATACCTATTAGTTAAACAGAAATTACTCAATATAAAAACTGTTCACTGAGTATAAAGTGGTTTAATATAGAACACAAAAGACCAGAAAAGAATACTAAGGTGTAATGGAGAGAGTATTGCAGGACACAGTCTCCATTACTAGGGCTACAAAAAGAAAGGAAAAGTCTGGAATTACAACAACATGGAAGCTTAGAGGAGAAGTGCTGTGGAGTAGAAACTCAGCCTTCTGAGAGGGAGGAGCTGCTTATCTTGTGCTGGTGTCTCTGAGCTCAGAGGAAAAGCTCCTAGGACTGGGACTCAGCCTTTTCCACTTCTGAGGAGGAGGCAGTGGCTGGCTGTACTGTTGGAGAGGGAGGTTCGGTCTACAAGTGTAATAAAAAGTGCGGTCTTGATTCAGCTGCTGTTACAGTCAGGAACTGCTTTACTATTGAAGGGAAGAATCATAACTGGACTGACACTCACAGAAACAGGATACAGGAAAGAAGCATAGAGCCTGAAGGAAACAGACATGACACAGCAAGCCTCTTCTCCTTCCTCCAGCAGTGTAGACAACCCTAGTGCCTCCTACTGCAAAAGTCTAACAGGAATCCAGATGCCCAAGTGGAAAAGTGGTTTTCATAATTCTTATTATCAGAAAACAGTATAGAAGAGTAGATTTGGTGCCAAGAAACTATCACTGAAAGTTAGCAGATATTTTTCTTTAAAATTAATTTCCTGGTTTACTTTGGAAATGACGGTCTCAGTAATTGAAAAGTACTAAGTGATTCTGACAATTATGGTTCCTTCCTCACCCATAGACCAGCCATATTAAAATTTTGCTAAATGCTTTACTTTAATTTGATTTTCTCTGTGTGGTAAAAATAGTACTAGTATTGAAAATAATAAATCCTGGCCTAAGAGTAAGAAACTCTAAGTTTCAGTCCTCCACATACTATTTATGTGATCACTGGAAAACTATATAACATGCCTGAGATTTAATTACTTCTTGAGGATGTTATTGAATTATAACAATTTAACATAAAATAATAATTTCCGTTTGGTACTGTGACAGCTATGAAAATTCACCTTTATAGACCAACTACAGCTGTTATGTGCTGAATTCCATCACAGCATTTGCACTGAAGCCACACCTTCCCTGGGCCGCCCCAGGCTACAGACAGCATGCAACTAGCACACTGATGTTGTACTGTTCCCAGGAGACAGGAGACTCCTATGACAGCCGACTTGGTCCCAGCAACTCCCCAACAGCCTGATTGGATTTTCCATAGAATACATGGCAGTCTAGGACACTCATACCCAACCATTCTTTTCTTTCTCCTTCACCTGGGGTGAGGCTTGCATGGTGATCTGATGTCTCTCTCAAACTTCCATGGCTGCTTCTTCATTTTCTCTCTCCGGCTTTTCCCTAATAAGGTCCTTATATGTCTCATCCCATCTTGGAACGTGCTTTGTAACATGGTTTGTGTTTCTTAAAATGCGATTCATGAACCACCTTGGCCAGAATCATCTTGCGTTACCTTTTGAGATGCACCTCTGCAGGACCTATGTGAGAGGCCCCCAGTTAGAATTTTCCGAGGCTGGGGAAAGCTTTCTGAATTTTAAATTAGTTCTCCAGGTTATTATTGTTAATATTAAATGTGCAGCTCCACTGTCACACAAACATATCTTTCAACACTTTAATGATTTCACTCCACCCTTTTCTTGCTTGTGGAGTTTCTGATAAGAAGTCAGCTGTAATTCCTATCCTTTTTTCCCTTTAGTCTGTGATTTTCTTCCCCTGTGGCTTGTCTTTTTTTTTTTTTTTTTTAATTTTTTTTTTTTTTTTGCATGTGGTTTTGCTGTTATTTTTCACTTTGAACAAGATATACCTAGGTGTGTAGATTTTTTGCTGTTGTTTAGTATTTACCTGTTGGTTGTTTTCTAAGCTTGCTGTATCTGTGGTTTGGAGATAGTCAGTAACTTTGGGAAATCCTTGGCCAATATTTCTTTTCTTTTCTTTTCTTTTCTTTCTTTTCTTTCTTTTTTTTTTGAGACCAACTCTTGCTGTCACCTAGGCTGGAGTGCTGTGTCATGATCTTGACTCATTGCCACCTCCACCTCCCAGGTTCAAGCTCTTCTTGTGCCTCAGCCTCCCAAGTAGCTGGAGTTACAGGCATATACCACCATGCCTGACTGATTTTTGTATTTTTAGTAGAGATGGGGTTTTGCCATGCTGGTCAGGCTGGTCTCAAACTCCTGACATCAAGTGATCCACCCACCTCGGCCTCCCAAAGTGCTGGGATTACAGGCATAAGCCACCATTTTTATTTCAAATTTTTATTCTGCTCCATTCTTTTTTTCTTCTCCTTCTTCTGTTATTGCAATTATGTGTATGTTGCAGCTTTTGAAATAGTCCCAAAGATCTTGGATGTTACATTTTTCAATTTTTCATTATTTTTTCTCTTTGCATTTCGGATCGAAAGTTCCTATTGACTTATCATCAGGCTCAGTGTTTCTTTTCTCACCTATATTGAGTCTACTGGTAAGCCCATTAGAGGCATTCTTCCTTACAGTCACAGTGTTTTGATTTCCACCATTTCCTTTTGATTCTTTGAGTCTCTGCTTACATCACCTATCTGTTCTTTCATGTTGACCACTTTTTCCACCAAAGCCTTTAACATATCATGATTATTTTAAAATTCTATCTAATTTCAAAAATCTGTGTCCTATATGAGTCTGAGGATGATGATTACTTTGTCTCTTCAGATTCTGTTTTTTATTTTTTTTCCCCACCTTTTGGCAGGTCTTATAATTTCACATCAAAAGCTGGATATGTTTTATTTTTTATATTTCTATTTTTTATTTTTATTTTTTATTTTTTGAGATGGAGTCTCACTCCGTCACCCAGGCTGGAGTGCAGTGGTGCAATCTTGGCTGACAGCAGCCTCTGCCTCCCAGGTTCAAGCGATTCTTGTACCTCCAACTCCTGAGTAGCTGGGATTACAGGTGCCTGCCACCACGCCTGGCTAATTTTTGTATTTTTAATAGATAGGGGGTTTCATCATGTTGGCCAGACCAGTCTCAAAGTCCTGACCTCAGGTGATCCAACTACGTCGGCCTCCCAAAATGCTGGGATTAACAGGTGTGAACCACCACACCTGACTGAAAGCGTGTTATGTTTTATCAAGTCATAGGAACTAAATAAGCTTTTAGTATGAGAATTAGTGTTAATCTGGTTATGAGTTATGCTGTGTTTAGTGTTTGCTGTAGCTATAGGTGCCAGAATCTTTAAGTTCCCATGGTGTCATTTTTTGGTCACCTGTCTTTATTTTGAGCTTCCCTAAGTGCTTCACCACAGAGAGAGTATGTGTCTTACAGCTCTTTCTGTTGTGATCTATTTTATTATACTTAAGTCCCTATTGGTGTATTGTTAAGGCATGGAGAAGGGGGTGTATTCTGTAGTCTTGGGGCTAAATCTCTAACTTTTCATGAGCCTGTGTCTTCACAAATGTTTATATTCCTCTGCTTCTTACTACCTTGCCTAGCTGCAGCATTTTGCAGTGTTTTTAAACTGTTTCTTTAAATTACTGACCTATTGACCTATTGGTTTTGATTTATTTTCTTTTTTGTTTCTTTGTTCCTTAGCTGAAACCAGAAGGTGGGAGGGGACTGGAATATATGAAAATTTTCCCCCACATAGGATAACATTTTGGCAAAATCCTTTTTTCTGGACAATAGGCTTTTGTTATGGAGAAAACTCTGGGTGTATTTCACAATGGTTACTTTCCCCCTTACTTGCCAGAGTCACAAGGGGATCTTTCATATATCTTCCTGAAGATAAAGCTCATGCAGATATAGACCACCCACAAAACTGCAGCGCCCAGTCTAACTGAACATTTTATCCAGTAACTTAGCAATTTATCAAAGTTACCATTTAAGTATTTCTACCAGTTTATGCTCCAGCTGCTTCTGCTCCAGGTAAGCAGATCTCAGATGTCTCTCTGGATCTCTCTCTGTCTCCTTTAATTCAGGGTAGTGGTTCTCCAATGGGCCTGAGAAAAAGTAATTGATTTTCAATTTGTCCAGCTTTTTCTTGTTTTAAAAAAGAGAAAGATGAAGTCTAGGATCTTTACATATCAGAGATGAAACCAGAGATTATAACTACTTCCCTGATTTTGCAAATGAACAAATATGGATTGAGTATCTGCAACATAAAAAAAAAAACAAAAATCCGTAAGTGATAGACTCTATCTCTGCCTTCAGCTTCATAGGAAATATGAGACACTCACAACTTTCAAATAGCTCTGACTCTCCTGCATCCTCAGATCCAAATCTGCTTTTCCCACCAGCTCCCTGGTCTGATGACCTTGGAGGGCAAAATATCACAACTCACGTGAAGACAAATCTCTGACGTAAAGGCAGCACTTGTTTTGAAGACATGAGCTTATCCAGCCCCAGAGAAGTTTCAGGGCTGGGC